TATTATTTTCTCCATTGTTTCTAATAGCACCAGCTACTTACAGATTTGAGTTCCCTGTAGGTGCCTGGGCCTTTATCTCTTACTCTCATAACACCTGCGAAGTGGGGATAATTTTCCTCACTTAAAATACTCCAGTTTAGATATATCTGAGTCTAAAGCATGTGCTCTATCCACCTCAGCATGTAAAACTCCTCTTTCCAGATGTTTAATATTTACTTCCATTTTCTTTAGATTCAGGGGCATTTGTGATTTTGCTATTAGTTATTACATTTCCATATAAAAAAGTTTATTTCTGGGGTTCTGACTAAGTTCCAGTGACCTGTACGGATATTTTACAGCCAGAATGATACTGTTTTAATGAATGTGGCTCTGTTTGTCTTATCTCATTACTCATAATTATTCTGCCAAGTTCACCCCAAAGTAAACATATCCATAACACGCAGATATGACAGCCAGGAAGATGTCCTCTCTTTCCATTTAAGGTACCCCTTCAGACCTTTCACGATACTTTATGGTCTCCTCCACAGAGCGCACACTTGACTCTGTAAGGTTCTGGTTTTATATGGTTCACTTGTTTGGCTGCAACGTGGTCAGAGCCAGTTTCTTTTTCGGGTTTTTGTTTTTGTTTTTGCCATGGTAGGTTATTTCTGGAATTCAGAACGCTATTAATTTTGTACATATACTAGTACATGGTCACTTCATCAATTTTCTGCCTAATAATTTTTGTTACTGTTTTCCTAGTCAATAGCATCTATAAATATTTCCCTTCTTTTCATTTTAGAGCCTCACTTCACTCCAACCTCATGTATTACTGCTTTATCAAAACATAAAAACCCTGTTAAATGTCCCAGTTTTTAACTTGACTCACTGACACTTTTAAGTATAGTGTAAACAACCAGTTTAACATTTTATGTGTACTTTTTGCATACAAATTACTTATTGCCACTTTTATTTATCCCCACTTTTTAAAAATAAGAAACAAGGCGTTTTTGCTTTGTTTTGTTTCGTTTTTTTAAATCAAACACTGATTTGACCTTAGTATACCTGGTGAAGTCAATGTGAATTCCACGGGAAAGCCCACATCTTTTCCAGACGGCCCTCTGAGATCGCTTACCTGGTCTCCCCACTTCAACTCTCCACCCCCAGCACGCCCCCACATTTTGCATGCAGCAACTAGAGTGGCTGTTTAAAGATACAAATCTGATTACGTAACTCCTCTTCGTAAAACCCAACCAGTATCACGGTTTCCCATTTCACATGGGATAAAATACAACCACTTTTACCTGCCCTACAAGACCCTACCCCTGGCCTAGCCACTGTTGCCCTTCACCTCCACAGTCTATCCACAGTCACTCTTTCAGTTCCTGGAATGGGCAAAGCTTTTTCCCCCTTTGAGTCTTTCCCACATGCTGTTCCTCTGCCTGGAAATATCCCCCACTTCCCTCCACACTAACACCTACTCACTCTTCAAATCTCAGCTTAAATCTCGTTTTTACAGAAAAGCCTTTCCTAGGCCCCTTCTCTCCACTCTAAAATTTGGTCTCCCCTTTTTTATACTCCCTCATAGCTGCTTAACTTCCACAGCAGATACCATAGTTTGTGATCATAGGTGTAGTTGTGGGATTGTGTTTAAATTCTGATCCCCTCCCCCTCACAGATTCTGCACTTCAAGAAAACAAGTACAAGCTGATTTTGCTGTCCACCCTACATATGGCCAATGTACATATGTACATATGTATCTCACACGTATCTCAAAGAAAGAAAAATACCTACAAAGCCCCTAATCATATCTTGTACACTTAAAACGTTACCATCACATCATTCAATCATTATTTAAATGATTAAAATATTAAATCTCAATATTAAAACTCTTTCTTACACAGCCTACAAATTTGGTAACAATCCCTTTTCCCTGAAGGACATAAAAGATAATCTCAATCTGCTGCTGCCATAGAAAAATACATGTACAACTTACAACTCTAGGAAATAAGCATAAATATTACAGTGAGGGTATTGTTCTGTCTAGTGTTCAGTTTGCTGATATGTTTATTCACAGTCAACTAACTTATATGCCTTATTTTTTAAGGCATGTAAAAAAATTAGCGGCTGGGCACAGTGGCTCACACCTGTAAACCCAACACTTTAGGAGGATTGCTTGAGGCCAGGAGGTTAAGGTCAGTTGGGGCAAGATAGTAAGACCCTGTCTTTACAAAAATAAAATAAATCTGGCTGTAGTCAGTCCTAACTACCAGGGAGGCTGAAGCAGGAGGATCACTTGAGTCCAGGAGTCCGAGGCTGCAGTGAACTAGGAATATGGTGCTGTACTCCAGCAGTGAACTAGGATCAAGCCACTGCACTCCAGCCTGGGCAACAGAAAGAGATCCATTTTCATTCAATCTCTCTTTTTTTTTTAGGAAGAGAAAGAAGAAAAAAAAGCCCTAGGAAAAAATGCTTTGTAAAATATTGTTTAAGAAGTCCAACGTATTATTTACTTGATAAAAATTAATTTAAAAATCACAAATTAAAAGGCATTCACAGTTGACTATCTCTAGTGTTCTGCAAAATATAAATGATATTTCAAATAATTTTTGGATCACAAAGGCTAATAAAACCAATCTTTATATACAACTTTACACTCAAAAAAAGGATAATGCATTTTATCACTGAACTCTATGCAATAGGCAGAGCAGGCCATTTACAGAAAAGAAAACTAAGGCTTGGTGTGATTCAGTGTCCTCCCCAAGGTCACACAACTTGCAACTGGTAGAGTCAGAACTACCATAGGGGAAGGGTGGCTGCTCCCACCTGTAAATTTCTTAACCAAAAAAGAACTCCATCATAAATGCCTAATCTCTTAGTGTAGATCTGTGCTCCTACCACCGAAATTTCATCTCACCAGAGAACCACTACCAGCGAAAAAGCTGTTTTAAAGTTAAGACTTAAACTGCTATCAATTTGGGAAATGGCTAAACCATGGTATATTGAAATTATGGAACATGATGCAGTTGTGACAAATGAGTTGAAGCATTATATGCTAAAATTGCAAGGTAGGCTACAACAGTCCTTGTTAAAGGAGTCACAAATGATATAAGCACACACACGTAAAAGTATTCCAAAAGATCTAGAAGGACACACGCCACACACAACAGTCGGCATCCCAGGAGACAAGAGGTGGATAGCCAAAGACAAAATGCCATCTCTGTGATACGCTGTTTTTTACAAAGAAAATGTACTACTCTGCTCGTTTAAAATTAATTTTTAAATTTTAAATTAACCTGTGGGTTGAACAAGGTCAATTTCCTGCTCTAAAAAAAACTATGCATCTACAATGGAAATAGGGGCCCTTGCTAAATAAGAAGACAAAATGCCTAAAAACCGTTTTATCTTGTGAAAACAAACTGTGTAAATATCAGAAAACGTTCCTTTAAGAAGGCAACAGCTCGGCGATCTTTTTTCAGTATCTGGTCTCCTTTGTTGCAGTAAGACAGCCCATAAACCAACCAGCAACCAGAACAGTTCGGAGCAGGCTCCCGGGGAGATTTAGTTGTTAGAGTTCGACAAGAAAGGTTTCACAAAGGAGCTGACTTCTGGGGAAAGCGAGAGGTGATTTGGAGAGATGGGTCCGGATGGGAAAATGTCTGGGAGGGGGGTATGCGGAGTTCCTCAGAAGCCGGGGACAGTGAGAAAACTGCCGTGGTGTCCTGGAAGGGGTGAGAATGCCCGCGGAGGTGGGAGTCGAGAGGGAAGCGGGCAGCGCCGGCAGCCAGTTTACCTGGGTGAGAATCCGGCCCTTGTTGTGGTCAAACAATGGAGGCGTCGGGCGGCAGCAGCCTTCTGCGCTGGGTGCGCGAGGGGTTCCTCATCACCTGGGCGGGATGCTCGCCTCCTCTGCCCGGACGCAGGGCGCCCTGAAAAACACACAGCACCCCATGCAGCGGCTCCTCCGCAGCCGCCCGGCTCCTCGGTCCCCCGGCGCAGCCATGACCGCCTCTCCCGGGACCCGCTTGGAAGGGCTCCAAGGCGCGGCTCCACGGGCGACGAGGGCGGCCGCGCTCCCCCTTCCCTCCGCTCCAACAACAATGGAGCCGAGCTCGGGAGTCCGGCTCCCGCGGGGCCTCGCCCGGCCTCGCCCTGCCTGCTGCCCAGCCCTCGCTGGTGCCGGCCGCCATCTGCGCCCCCCGGCCCCGCGGCCCCGCTGCCCCGCTCCCCCGCACTGCGGGCCCGCGGCCGCCCGCCCGAGGCCCGAGGGGCGGCTTCTCGGCCCGGGGCCCGCCCGGCTGCGTGAAGGCGCTCTGACCTTCCCCGCCATCCCCAAGGGCCGGGCCAGCCAGAGGCCCATCCTCCGGGATGGGTTGTTTTTCTTTTCTTTAACCCACTCCACCTCCTTCCCACCCCCAGCCCACTCCCCGGCCGCCGGCCCCCGCCTCCCTCCAGGAAAGAAAGAAAAAGACTGCCGCCCGGCCGCTGAGAACTCACTCCAAGTGAGGGGAGTCGGCGCCCCAGGCCGCGGGCGCCGCGCACCCACCTCCCTCTCCACAGGGACACCTCACAGGTGCGCCTCCGAGCCGCGCGCGCGCGCGCTCCGCACACCCAGACGCCTCCGGGGGACAGCGCGCGTGCGCACGCACGAGGCCGGGGAGCCCCGGGGGAGCGGGGGCCGTACGCATGCGCGCCGCCCGACCCGCGCCCCCATCCCCCGCCTCCGCCCCCGCCCCCGCCCCCCAGCACCGGCCCGGCCCGGCCACCCGCACCCCCGCGCACGGCGCGCGCGCGCTCCCGCTCGCCTCCCTCGCTCCTCCCCGCGCGCTCGCCCCGGCCGCGTTTCCCAGGGCAACCGCAGTGCGGCCGCACCTGAGCTGTGCGCCTGCGTCCCGCTGGCCGGACCCTCCCTTCCCCTCGGCCCTCGCCCCCGCCTCGCCACAGCCGGGGGGAAGGGGGGCGTCGCCCCGCCTAGTCAAGTGAGTATCAGCCCGGCCGCCCCCGCCCCGCCCGGCCGACACAGACCAGCCGCCGCGCCGGCGCCTCGCCCGCCGGGTCAGCGCGGCCAGGCCTTGCCGCCGGCCCCGCTCCCAGGGTGCACCGCGGCGAGCGCTCGGGTGGGAGCGAGCGAGATGGGCCGGGCGGGCAGCGCCCACTGACCTCCCTCGGCGGCCCGGCCCGGGCAGCGCCTGAGCCCAGCCAGCCCCGCCCGCCGTGCCCCGCCCATGGGCAGCCGGCTCCCGCCGCCGCCCGCCGGGAAGACCCAACCGAGCGGGACAGCCGCCTGAAGGAGCGCGACGGCGGCGCCCGCAGGTGAGGCGGAGCCCGGGGTGTGCCGAGTCCGGCCCCGCTCACCTGGCGGCGCCGGAGAGGCTGGGAGGGGACGGGAGTTCGTGGCGATGACTTTAAAAACCCTCCCCGCCGGTAGACTGGGGACGGGGTCCTCCCGCCCCACCCCCGGGGCTCGGGAGCCACGCTAGCTCTGCGGGGGGCAGGGCTGGCCCCGGGCGAAGGCAACTTGGGGGACGCGGAGTAGCGGGGGAGAGGGCCCCTGAGGCGCGGCAACCCCCGTGTGCGCCCCCTCGGGGTCCGCCGGCCCCCTTTGGGGAGGGGGCGCCCCGGCCCAGGCTTCAGTCCAGGGTGCGGACCAGCAGCGGCGCGCGCCCACGCCAGTGCCAAGGGGGAGGAGAGGCCGGCCCCGGGGCGCTCCTGCCAGCCCCGGGGTGGGATCGCAGGGCGAGGGATCCGCATTGCAGGTGCACCAGGAGCGCCCCGGGGCCTAGCCCGGCTTTGTCTGGGATGCTGTGGGGAGGAGGCCGCCTGAATCCACATCGCCTTTCTAAATGCATGTTACCACCCGGGGCACCTTAGAGACCCTCCCTGACAAGTTGTATCGCCTCCTATCCTGGTAGCCTCTCCGTAAGTACACTGCCTTCCAGCCCCTTCCTGAAGCTTTGATGCGGCTTTAGTTTACTCTAAATAACGATTTGCCTGTGATTCTCGAAGCTGAGCTGAATGCACAAACGCAGCAGAGCCCCAGGCTTGGCTACTGGGCTGCTGTCTGCTGCTGCCAGTGAGTTCCTCTAACTTAGGTTTTCTGACCTGTATTGTTTCATTTCAAGCTTTGATTTTTAGCAGCACGATCTAGTCTACTAATGAAAATGAGGCGGCCTGAGAGAAAATGTAACAGGGCTCTGTAGCTTAGGTTGCAGTAGTTGGTTTTGTAACAAAACACAAGCTACCAGGCTGTAATACTTTAATATATTACGCATTTCCAAAAAAACTGTAAGAGTATTAAAGCTAGGATTGCCGTTTTAAAACTTTCACGTTTGAAATTTAAAGGGCTTTGGGATTGATTAAATGATTTTTTTGGATGGGGAGCACAGTCAAGAATTCCCCATGCATTTTCTCGCCATTGCATTGTAAGGAAAAAGATGCTAACATTTAAAGTGCCTTTTACCTCCAAAGGTGTTTTGAAATGTATGTAATTCTTTTGGATTAACTGTTTGGAAGAAGGCTTTAAGACTCGTGATTATATGTTCGGATATGCGTACGTAAACATACACACCACTGAAAAACCTTAAAATAGTTTTGTTACCTCTCTGCATTATATTATGATTACGCAGTAGTTTTAGTTTAGGTACATTTAAAGTCTAAAGTATGGGACAATTATTTGTGTCAGGTTTTTACTGTAACACATTTTAAATACATCAGTCTAACAAATAGGTTTTTTGGAAATTAGATATTTTTATTAACTTTTTTTTAAAAAGCAAATCATTCATTTGGGTTCATAATTCTTTCTTCTGCCATATTGGATAAATTGATCTCAACATAATTACCTAATTGGTAGGATGCCTTTGCAACAATCCTAACGTTAATACAGTGTTGATGCTTTTTAAAAATATTTATATTAAAAAGCATTTTCTCGTATTTCTGACGAGAAAAGTCATGGAACTTTTTCCTTCTATCTGGAACAAGGTCAGCCATAAATAGTTTCTAATACGTAGTGGGCACACGTTTGTTAACTAAGATTAATTATATCTACTGAATTGACTGAATTCCGTATCCTTCAAAGGCAGTGACTAGGTGACTTTGTATCTTCACACACCAATGTTGCAGTAAATATTTGAATCATATTGAAGTTTCAGCCTGGTTAGTTTGGTGCTAACTTAATAACACCAATTTTCACAACTTCCGCTCTGTTGTTTCAACCTGCAGAAGGATTTGGGCAGGGAAGTGGCTGTGTCCTATTGTCTTCAAATATTTGAAGGTCTGTCATGCAGCAAGGGATTTCATTTATTTTGAGTAATTATTGAGTACGGAAAAACAGATTTCACTTCTATGTAAGGCAAAAGTTGTTTATGATGAGAACTAGCGGTGGAAAGAAGGGGCTGCTGCTTCCGTAGGGGCATTCGGGATAGCTGATTCCCCACTTGGCGTGAATGGCTGCTAGGAGGTATCAGCGGTATAGGAGGGTCTTTCTAAGAGGGACTCCTGGGTATTCCGATGGCAACTATATCGTGGACTTCTGTACTTCCCTTTTAGTGCTGTGTTTTGTTTTTTGTTTTCTTATGCTAGCTTCTACGATTGTGGACATAGCAACATCCCCAGACACCTGCATGAACCCTGGGAAGACTTTAGTAGGTTAAAGACCCACCTGGTATCAAAGATGATTCTTAGTCCTGCTTTGCATTTGTATGGCGCATTACAGGGAATAAAACACTCTCAAATTCAATGTGTTGTTTTAAAAGACTCTTTTTAATTATATATGATTTGTATTTCTTTCTTTGACTTTTATTTTCTACAGTAAACATTGAATCAAGAGGAAAATTACCCAAGCAGAAAAGTCTTTTTTTAAAGCTCTTTTTTAAAAATGGGATGGTGCCAGTCATTCTTTGGAAAGCCCTCAAGTTGTGAAGGTGAATCGTTCTTTTACTTAGCTGAAAACATTTTTTTAAAAGATACTGAATAAGAGATGATTCTTGTGCTTGCTCTGCATTTTAGTTTGTTTATTTCATTACTCAAACATGACTCAAGTTTCACAGCAAAAAGTCCAGTCATATCCACCCACATTAAGTTGCATTGGAGGTTTTTTTCAGTATGTCTGCATGGTTTTTAAAATATGCTGGCAGCTGAAGGTAAAACAAAGCCAAGAAGTAGAATTACAGTGAGCCGAACGAAAAGCTTAGGGGAATTGGAGCTTTGTGTTTGAAGAAGAAAAAGATATGCCCGATTTGTATGAAACCAATCTGGAGAATGATGGTTTTGTCAACAAGGGGAGCAATGATTTATCTATTGTAACAGAGATTCAGCTACTGAGTGTCAATCTAATACATGTACTAAGTGGGTCAGTGAGGTTGGGACTCCAGTCTGTGACTAAGAAGCAGAGCAGAGTTTCCAGTGAGCATCGGAGTGCCCAATACACAGGATTGAAATGCAGCAAGACAGTAATGAGGCCAATTGAGTTAAACCAAGGTCTGACCTCTCCAGTTTAGGAAGAAGAGAAAAAAAAATCAGAATTAATGTCTACATAGACTTAACTTTTAAAACGTCTTTTAAAATAGTTACTCTCTCTTGTTCTCTAGCAGATGAGTTGGTCTCATGCTTTTGTGTCTCTTACCCATTAGCTGACTTTGGGTGTGTTAAGTGACAGTGACGACTCAAACTTTGAACACGGAGTATACCATTTATTTATGCTGTATACATGAAGGGAAAAGAGAAGAATATCAAGTTTTTCTGGCCAATCAAGAAATAAAATAAAACCTTAAAAGCATTTATTTTTTCAGGAAAAAAAATTACAGATACTACTTAAATATTATCACCAGGACAACAAATTGCCAAATAAGGCAACCAGTTAGCAGCATTTTAGAGGTTAAAGGTTGCATTTTAAAGCCATTAACCACGACTTCTGAAAGGATTACACAAATATCTTAAAAGACTTCTTTGTTAACCAGAAAACAATTTATATTTATATGCAAATGTCCACACTGGAGAGCAGATTAAGATGAATCCTTTCATGATTATTCCCAATTTATTGCTTTATCAGAAAGAACTTTACGAAGCAAGAAATGTCTACTCTTACTGTGAAGGAGTAGGTTTTCTCCTTCTTTCTGAAATTCTTTATTCTAGCTGAATTCTCAGACTGAGCAGTGAACTTCCATTGGTTAGCACCGTATAGAGCAAGCCTGATAAAGCTGCTTACAATAAGGGGAAAAAATGAGAGAAGAAAACTTAATAAATGGAATACAAGGCACATAATACTCTGCTTCTACAAATTTTCTCTTTGTTGCCTCCTTGGCAACACTTAAGATATTAAAATTAGGTCTGCTTAAGATCCATTATCCTTTGCTCTTCAGATTTCCTCCCCAACCTATATCTAAATGCGTCCTGTGCCCTTCTCATATACTACGCAGGTAAGAGAGTTTATGAGAAGTCGTTAAAGCCCATTTTCTTACGTAACATTGTTTAAGCAGTAACGCTACATCCAAATTGTAATTCCCAGTATTATTACAATATATGTTTCTTAAAGTTGCACATTTTTGTAGCATCATACTCTGAAAAGGCGATCTTTCGTATAATGTAGAGGGCACATAAAAACGCTGGGTTTCCAAGAGAAAGTTCCATCTCTGTCATAGCATAAGTATCTTAGGATCTCCTAATTTTTCTAATGATGAATGTAAGAGGTTAGGCTCATGCCATACCCCAAACGTTGAAGGAGGCTTTTTGTAACTCCTTTCTCTCCAGCTATCATACACATCAACCCAGATGAAAGGCACTGCCAGTGTTTCTGACACCGTGGCTAGTAGCATGGGAGAGCAGATGTACTTTTAAAACATAGCCAGGTCTTGCACATTGATAAGAAAGATGGAGGAAGGTTGAGGTTTTTTGCTCAGTTTTGTGTTCCCATAGATAAGAACATAGCAGAAGTTACTAGGTCTGGCTTGTCAATTTTCAAGGAAGGTCAGTATTTGATACTGAATCATCTTTTGGTTGAGTCCCTATGACCAGACCAGAAAGTTCTAGTGAAATAGAGCAGCGGCTTTCTGGCATTAAGGTAATTGCTCTTTGACATGTCCTATTGCTCTGCAGGGTCGAAGGATATGTAATCCTCAGCCTCTGCGATGTGATAGATTTCAAGTGAGGAATTATTTTCCATCAATACAGCGGTCAAGTCAGTTTTTGACAGGTCTATTGGTACGATAAGGCTGTGGTATCAGGACCCAGTTCAGAGACGAACAAACCCAAACTGTATTGTTTGAGGGCAAAGGCAGGTTTTTAGGGGAGAGACAAAATAGGAACAAATAAAGACAGAA